TTCAGACTTCACGACTTGGCCAAGAACTCTGGACAGTTCCGTCGACGACGGCGCCGAGGTGACGCCCTCCTCCAGAAGAAACTGGCCGATCAGGTGATCGTGTCCAAGACGCTTCTCGATCCTGCTAATACACTGAGCAATGTGAGTGGAACCTATTGGTGCTGAGCACAGCTAGGGCCTTATAGGTGAAGGAGCCTATATGTAGGGCAAGTTTTTCAGAGAGCTAAAAAGCGTCTGCAAAAAGAAGAAAGCTGTAACGATCTTCATTCGGATGTTCAGTATTCGCTAAATAAGCACCAGCGATGGAAAACTGTAAGTACTAGAAATCAACGTTGTCTATTTGGTAGTTTGGCTTAGACGTTTAGACAGCGTCAGTGTGGGGAAATATCCCATCTTTGGAGGGAGGAGGGGGGGAAGCATCAGCTGGGAAATCTAACCCCCTCCCCTCGACGGCTCGATTCCATGAGGAGTGGAGAAGGGACAGAGGGGGGTCGTACCAACCCCCAAAAAAGGGGAGGGCGTACGGACTCGACTAAAATCCCCAACCAATAATGTGCCCTGAGGCCGCAGTGTGTACAGTGTGTTGATATGGTCACATTCCGGTGGGTCGTTGTCAGGAGGAATAGAATGAACCCTACCCGACTCTTTCTACCATTGGTTCTTTTCTTCTTGAACCGACCACATTGATAGAAAACGCAGCCGGGCCTATTCAACGCCTCCTGATATGGCCTTTACGGCCTTGGACTACGACGATATCACCCATGACCCTTTGGTCTGGTCCATTTTGACGACTCTCTGATTTTTCAGCTCAACGTTCCAACCTTGCTGGAGAGCAACCGTCACTCCGATCTTGAGGTTCTCGTAGCAAATCGAGTCATCACCCCTCGTCGTGAGTTGTCGACTCTTTTCCCCATATCTTTAATGAATTCATGGGGGACTTTCATTACACTGAAAAAGTTTGCATGAACTTGCAGGTCTCGCTGATATCGAAGCCCTCAACGTTACAGGCGTTCACGTGGAGGAAAACGGGACGGTCAACACGATCTCCACGAAAGGAAAAGGACAAAAAAGTGAACTGTACTAATTATAGCTTACTCGTTCGCGCTTGCGCAGGGGGGAGAGCCATTATGAACATTCACTTATTTTTGGCTTCCTCCTATTATTACATGTTTCACCTTTTCAAGACGTGCAGACATTTGCCAAATGAAAACAAACCTTTCGCTATTACACAGCTTCACAGAAATTCCCATTCTTACAAGAAACTTCGGCTATAGTCGCTGGCAACCAGCCAAATGCCCTCACCAAGCCGATGCACCGTTTACTAGCCTCCGAGTGTTTACGTGAAAAAAGCTCATCTTTCAGCTCTCCCACTTCCAAGCAGCATTGCGGGAACGGCGAAACCTGGAAAAGGACGAAGTTGAACCGGCAAAAATTCTCATCAACATCGTCGAGCCTCACCCTGTTCTCAAAATTCTCGCCGGAAAAACTCAGCGAAGTTGGTCTTATTCGGGACTATTAGCAGTTGCCTACAAATATTCTTTTTCAGCTGTTTGAGCAATCAACGTCTGCCTAAAATCAGCCAATTCAGATAATAAAAAGGGGTCTTGGACAACAAAATCTCGGCAAGCGGACCACAGCTCTGACCTGTCGGATGAGAGCTGCTGCTACGACGAAGACGAAGAAGAACTCGAGGTGGCTGAAAGTAGTCCAAGGTAATTCACAGCTGAAATAGATTACCTTAAGTCCTTAAGAGAACCGCCAAAGGTTTGCCTAGGGCCACATAGGTTCCCCATACTCATCCAAATCATGTAGGGTATCGATTGAGCGATTTAAGTCATTAGAGCAGCACAGCGTTTGAACTAGCTAGTATTCCATAACTAGTAGACTCGATGTAGTGTAGCACTTCTGAATGGAATCACTCAAGTTTTCATGCGAATATCGCCGCGTGACTCCACAGGCTATGTTTCTTTGTGGGCTCGTAGGGCGGGTACAGCATCAGGATGGGAGAAACAGGGGTGTCATACAACCCAATTGCCCTCCAGCCCGATTTCATCCCCCTTCGGCATGGCAACTTTCCTACCTATCGCTTTTCTGAGTTTTCCTAGCTTCCTACCACTGTATCCCCATACCTTCTTAAGTTTTGCATTGCTCCGAAAATTTAGCCGCTGACAGGAGAGGGGAGATCTATTACGATCTATAGTAGAATTACTAGTTCCAACAATGGAAAATAGTGCTAGTATCGGGCTTGAAAGCGCTGCACTGGAGCTCTGAAAAAAAATTCTGAGGAAAACTTTCAGCCAGACCAGATACGAGACCAGGCTTCCGTCGACAAAATGCAAACCCCCCTCCCCATGGACGACCCTCTGGACGGACTGCTCCCCGTTTGTGGATAACAACCTACACCCAATATGCCGCATTAGGTTTTTCCGACGCTTAGCTACAACTCATAGTTATTTCTGCAGGCTTAGCCCTAGAGACAGGACCTTGCAAGAATGCGAGCGCCTTCGTGATTGAAGAGATTCATTGGCCTGCCAGAAAAAAATGGGAGTCTTGAGAATCTGTCCCACTCTTGACAATCGGTTCCTCATGGTCTAGTCGAAGTCCTTCCCGACTATCCTACTTGTATGAAATGAACGAACTCCTTTATCTGCAGGCTACAGTCCTGTTATCTGCCAACGCTGGGCGTTTCGGGAACGTGGGGGGGGGGGGAGGTGGACGGTGTCGCTGCACCAGCCTATTCCCCATCAGTTGGCCGTCGCCTGCCAGTCTTTTTGATGAAAAACAGGCTGTCGCCGCCCTGAACAGTACTTTATTCATTGCAGGACCTCCTTGACACTGGGAGACTTTCTAACTAGTTCTTCGCCTCCGAAGAGCACTGAACGCACGAGACAATCGAGCAGCTGGAGTTTTATCGATGCAAAGCCAGAGTGTTCAGCGAAGGTCAGTGGAAAAAAAGTGGGTTAGCAGTAACATGTGCAGAACATAGCCTTTCAGAACGTTCAGCCAAAACCTGCTGATCTCGTCGACATCTCGGCAGTGACCCACGCGAGTTCAATGTTCGAAGTCATTGATATTCAAACGCGTACACTTCAGAACTTTGATTTCCGCGAAATGGTAACTTTTCCTTCATTGGCGGTCCTGTGAACCAGTAGATCTGAATTGCGACGACGTGAAACTAGGCCACGTCGGATCTCCTAACCCTCCCTAACTGTTCTCGTATTTCCTGACCTTCCACATGCCCCATTTTTCAGATTTCTCTCCTGGAAGACAAGCGTGTTGTTGTTCGATGGATCGATTCGGACCGAGTCATGGTTGATGTCACCTATCAGGTCCGTCTCAGTGGTGACGAACCTATAAGGAAGCCGTTGCTCATCCTCTTCATGGAGCTACGAGATGATGCCCGCATACTCAGGTACCCAGTTTGGTTAAAATTCGTGGACGGGGTTCTAAA